GTGGTTCTATTTACAAAGATAAAGCTACCTTCTGGCATTATTCTCTTCTTTCTGAACTTAACACTTTCAATTTTTTAATATATTTTCTGCTTTCTTCCTGGTTAGTTAAATACGCGATCAATATGACGAGAATTGATTGAAGTGAAATTATTAATAAGTAGGTCTCACTAAGGATGAAATTGAAAGGTGTTAAAGAGAAAATAGAGTTAAACATAACAATGTTGGTATTATCATATTATAGAGAATAATTAAAATCGAACACATTCCTCTAATACACGCTCCGATTCACTGGATCTGAATTACCACTATAAATTCATACTCCATGCATTTTTCCTTTTTGCACAATTTAATGCAGACAATGGTTCAATTATTCTTACTGATTAGACCCTCGTCAACTGATTGACAAAAAATTGTATTATCGTTAAAGTTACATAATTATCTTAATTTGTTTTGTTGATAAATTCGTTACTATAAATAGAAAAGTTATTTATTCTGAGACTTATTCATTTATTATCTTGCAAAAATGAAATGCATCTGTTTTTAACAACTAGCAGTCGGATTTACGAATAAAAATCCACAATTTCATATCTTTATTCATTAAAGTAATCTCGTATTTTCAAAATACAGAAATCTTCCTTTGATATTCAATACTTTTTAGGTTTGTACAGTTTCTTGAAATATAAATTTCATTACTGCTTTTTCAAAATTTCAAAAAGAATACGCGGATATACTGTATTACCAGGGTTTCCATCATTAATCGAATATTAAAGTTGCACCATTTTATTAATTTGCGCACTAAACATGAATTATTTCTTTTCAGGGATGGCGAGCTTTAAAGACATTCCAAGACGATGACCCCGCTTGGGTTCCTCGTGACCATCTACAAGATCCATCCGAGGTTCATGTCCAGAAGCGACGGCGTCTTAGGAAAAGAAAACGGAGACCGATGCCAGCTAGTGTCGATGAGGAGTCGTCATCAGACCAAGAATTATTAGCAACAAGGCGTATCCTTCCCCAAAGATTTGAACACAATCTGGAATCGTGGAAGGAAATATCTGAAGAGATCGTCAAGAGACCAAATGTAAGACGTAAAGTCACACCAATATTTCAGCCGCCATCGGAAGAATTAAGTGAAGAAGATAATATGAGCCCCTTAGAAACTGCGATTAGCTTTGAAGGGGAAACTCCAGAGAAAGAGGAACAAGTGATTAAATCCGCTGAAGAAATAGTAGTTGAAATGAATAAAAACGTCAGGACAGAATCGGAAACGCATAAAGCAACTATACCAGATTTGAAAGCAGTTTTGAAACAAGCTGGCACTGGCAGCTTAAGCGAAATCTTACAGCAGAAAAATCTGTCTCTGAGCGAACTTCTGATGGGGAATCAAAAGGCAATATCTGCTTTGACCGAAACGCCTGAACAAGTGACAGAGGTCGTCATGAATGCGAAGACTCCCGCAACTGCAGACACAACTAAATATAAGAGGTTGCCGCCATCTGTAGGTTTGCGCAAGAACATAAACAGGAACTATGAACAAGAGGAAGACTCTTTCGAAAGTTTGTCAAATAAGGAAATGTTAGAAGCTCAGAGAAAACGGTTATCTCTATTAGGTCACAAAGACAACAGGCTATTCTCAACGGTTACAAAATATGACGTTATAACAGAGCCAACAACAGAAAGGAGGATATTCGTACCATCACATCCAAAATACTATTCTCAAACTCATGTGTTTACGCCTGACATCAATATTTTTAATGATCAGTTCAATAAGCCCCAACAGCCTAAAGAGTCGAGTACAACCACTACGACGACTACACCAAAGACCACAACCATTACAACATTAAAGCCCAAATTGCCTCTAACCAACGCTAAAATTACTAAAATAACAACGAAACTTGCGTTTAAAGTAGAAGAGGAGGAGGAGGAAGAAGAAGAGAACTATCCAATAATATTTAATTTCCCTAAACCAATACCAATTAACATACAAGAAGTGTCTGGTTATAAACACAGACAAAACAAAGTTGAAAATGTGCAAATCTCTGAAGCAGACAACAACGATAAACCAGTAAAAATGTCTATAGACCTCGACGTATTTACTGAAAAAACTACAGAAAAAGCGACCCCCGTAATTTATCCTAAAACAACTCCAACAAGTGCAGAATTAACAACTACGGAAGAACTTCGTGGCGAAAAGGTGGTGCCAGCAACAGCAAAGGATGAGATAATGGAAATAATGAAGGATCCCATAAGTAGGGAGAGGCTGTCCCGAATTTTAGAGAACAGGAACATGACTGTAAAGGAGCTTGTGGAACAGAGAGAAAGGGGGTCTAGTCAGTTGCATTTAGCAGACATATTCCACAACAAGACCCGTGAGCCTGAACCTAAAGGCGAACCATTCATTGGCACTATTAATGTAGAACACTTTAACAGTTTTCCTCTATTTGGAAGGCAACACAAAAGCAGGGTATTTGGAGACGAACGGTCTAATGAACAGTCATCTATCTTTAATCCATCTCCGACTGCGTCAGTAGTCCAGATCACTGAAAAAACTCCAGAGCCGACCCTAGCATCGACTAGTTTCCCAGCAGTTAAAATCGGAGTTGAAAACACCAAAGACCAGCCGTTTCTCTGGAAGCAACTGGAGCCAGATCTATTTTCACGAATATCTCAAAGTAATAATCAAGAAACGACTGATAAAATAAACGATCCCCTGAAAGGGTTCCAAGAAAACCACCAAGAAAAATATTCACAAGAAGAGCTGCAAAGGCTTGACGACATCGACACCAAATTTTCTCTAGTTTCTAATGAGAAACTGGATGATGAAAATAACGACTTCCAGGATGAAGAGGTTCTTATACATATACCTTCAGGTGTAAAATCGGCAATATTTGTCAGTTTAGCTATCGTATGCCTTTCTATAGTCGTTTTCCTAACGATACTACTCGTTTTCAAGTGGACACAACGGCAAAACAAAAAGATTAATTACTGCAACAGTTTATCTACAAAGATAAAGTCACCGATGATAATGCAAAGAAGACCAACGAGCGCGATCAAATCTTTTATGACTGAAACGCTGGGAAGAAAGAAGAATTATTACAAGTCAAATGTTCAAAGTACAGACGATCTGTGGGAGTGTAGTAGGGAAAGAATTCCTTCTTTCTGAGTTAGGTTGATAGTAATTTATTTATTTATGTGATACCAAGTGCAATATTTATTTGAGTTAATAGGTTATGTTTTATATAAAACTAACTATAAGACCAGACAGTCTCGTGGTATGGAATTATAGAACTGAGACTGAGAAATGTATTTAAAATATATTTCATTATGTATCACAGGCGCAAGAGGCAATACGAGATATTTAAAAGGAAAAAATATATTATACTTGTCTTGTCTTCTTTTATTTATTTATAAAATAATTGTAATTGTAAATCTTAATTGCTCGTGTACTGAAAATATGATTCATATTTTTGGAAACCAAAGAATACATTCAAAATTGATTTCCAATACATAATGAGTAAACATCATATGTACGTAGAATGTCTTAACCGTAGAACAGTACAAAATTGTAGGCATTAAGAAGGGGCTTATTTCGAGAACATAACAGACTTATGGAAGAGATATTAGGACTGCCATTTTTTATAATGCACCTAGTCTTATTGTTAAAGTTAATTACATTAAAAACGACACTGCTCTCAGTTATTTTATTATCCTTATTTACATTTGTAAGTATAAACCGCAGTTGTTATTTTTTTAAATATATTTTACAAATAATTGTTGTTTTATTTTATTCAATCCTTATTTTTGCATAAATACGTTACTTGTCATAAGACGAAGATATGTTTAAATGTTATATCTTTGAAAAAAAATATTTATGTCACCATTTTGCTAAGCTATATATATTTTTAACTGACTTTCATATCAATCTCTATCTTTATGCGTTGAACGTAGTTTAAGAGAGATTAACAAATTAATAATAATAAAACATATGATTTGAATTTGGTCTAACTGTAGGGTACTCTTGAAACTGAATATGATAATGCGGCATTATCTAAGGTTTTCGAAAGTCTTTATTTATTTGCCTAACACATCTCTATTTCTGTCTCACTCAGTATTTTCAGCCTTGAGAAAAACACTAGGGTTTGCCAGCACTGTATACCAATATATTATTAGGATAAACGCAGGTATAATGAGTAGACACTGTCAGGAAACACTTAAAAAATGTATTGTATCCGAAGATTATTACTTTCACTTTAGCTGGAAATCGAGGCTAAAGTGGTTTTGGCAGAATTAGATCCTCGTTTGGCATCAGGCGGGTTGTCGCGTCCTGTCAAATAAGGTTTCCCTAATTATCTTGAATGGGTTCCGCAAATCGGATTGCTACCAGTTGAGATGTTCAACGATCATCTCGGCTACGATTGATTGCGCACATGCCGCAGATCGTAATTCGCATAATTGCACTCAAGCTGTTCTCTTTGCCGGAATTGCCCAGCCGCTGCATGTTGATATTAATTTGCACTCGTTAGTGTTTTTCTAATAATTAGCCCACTTGCCCTCTTCAGAAATGGTATATCATGACGATAAATATATTAGAAATGTACTTAAAATGTATTATTTAAATACTACCAACGACAAAAGATTACAGATCTTCAAAATATGTACGTACCTACTACCAGTACCAAGTAAATGTTTATACGAGCCTTGTCCAATATATTATTAAATTTTGTTTGCAACCTCACCTCATTTTACTCACGTGCAGTATTAATAATAACTTGAACCCCTATAAATCAGATGAATACTTTTTGTTCAACCACCAAATACAACTTTATTTGTTTGTAATTTATTAATTTTATTACAGATATTTAGTTTCCCAGTCAATTTTTCTTTTGTAACAATTTGTGCCATTTTATTTATTATTATTTTATTAAACGACCTAAAGTTAAAAGTTGAAAATATGTTTCTATTTAACAATTTCTAAATGTAAATTTACAATATTTACTTACCAATACTCCTTGAACGTAAATTTGTTTCGCATTAGACGACTGACAGCATCCTCGGAACTATTAAACAACTTGTGAAAATACGCATATTGCCTTGCAATGCTTTTTATCTGCCGCAGGGCAATTTCTAATGTAGGACTACCCCTCAGTTCTTCTAATTCCTCAGTGGTAAAGTATAAGACAGTAGTATAAGTTTTTGGTAGAATATTAATATAAGGTTTCCAAAATGAATCTTCTTTAAATTTTTCCAGTAATAGAAATATTGCAAGTGTAACGTTATGCATATTTTTCAAAATTTGGTCTTTCTCCATGAGGTGCCCTAATTCGCTCTTATTCGCTGTTTCCATGGATATCATCAACTTTCTGGGAACAGCAACAACTAACGAAGACTGAGGTATATCAGTGTTTACTTTCAAACCTAATTCGTATCCTTTGAATTCTACTATTGAACAACCATTAAATTCCGCGCCGTTTTCAGTTACCCATTTCGTAAAGCAGTCAATGGTGGCAGCAGTAGTTCGATTACCGACAGAGACACTAGAATCTTTATGAACTTCAAGAACTTTTATTCTATCAGTTATTGAACTAATTTCTTTGTTGTTTTCTATAGCCTTTAAGATATTTGGTTGTTGAGGTATTGTACTAATCCTAAGTAACTTATCTATATTGTCAAGTAATTCCTTTTCTTCCTTCGTGAGATTCTGTTGATTATTTGCTTTGAAAACATGTTTGGGTGTGTGTCCTTGTCCCTTGCGACCCATATTCACCACACTTGATAGATAACTGAGATAAGAAGGATTAGTTCAGTAGCAATTTATAAGTAAGCTTTTACTTTATCTATTACACACGTGTATTACACACTAGGATCCAGTTACATTTTATTTATAAACTGCACTTCCTTCAACTGCTCAGAGAGGGCAGCAGCAACACCACTCCTCTGATAGGTCTAGTCGAAGCTCTTTAATATATTAAAGTTTCTTTTATTATAAATAGGAAAAATAATTATATTGTCAAATATTTTCAATAGTTATTAGCGTACGATAGGTGATACGTAAATAACAAAATAACAATTAGAGCAATATTGACAATCTCCATTACTATACTGGATGATAGGCAACACATTATACACACGGCTGTATGGAGTGTGTACGGATTATTCACATGACCACATAAACTAGAATTTGGTTTATCTACTACTTCTTCGTCGTTACTTGGAATTAACTTAATTTTAATATAAAATGAAAACCCCTTGACTTGATGACTGAGTAAAAACTGTTTGAACAAAAAAAGTTATAGCAGTGGCTAGTTCCTAAGCTAGGAGCACTAGCTATTGGCTAAGCAATAAAAATGCTGAAAGTGCAATCGTCTTACCTCTCATAGGTTCAATTTAATAGTGAATTTTACAAAAATTTGCATGCAAACGTGCCACTTATCTGGAAAGTATTTAACAATACAACAGTAATTAAAATAATAGCCACGAAAAACTCTCCATCCTAATCATAACACTACTTGATAGCTACTGTACCTTTTTTTAAATAAATAATTAACATTTAAAAGATAACTTATCTGTTTAATTTTACAAAAAAAAAGTTACCTGAGAATGTCGTAGCTATCAAGTAAAAGCACATATATGATTTTTTTAAAGTATTACAATCATTGGAGCACTAAAATTGTTGCAAAAAATAGATACCTGCCTTTATTTGCTAGGTTACGTCGCATTGTGATATATGAAATCGTGAAACACAAAAACGGTACACGATACACAGGACTGAAAAAAAATTACATGAAGGTTTAAACAAATTTAAAACTATTTGCCCTGGTTCGGCAGTCAGCTGTACCTTTGATATCGAAGTTGCTGCACGCTGCAGTGCGAAAGCGCTGATGGCGGTTGTGACGGTTTCAATTCTGTGTTCGAAAATGCTGAATTCAAATCTCATAAGTAATACTGCAACATACAACTAAAGAAAACGCGTGTAGCGAGTCCGAAGCATTCTAGTAGTGCACGTACACAAGCTGCACATTGTCTGCCTATATTTATGGTTAATTCTCACTCATTTTCGTGCCCTCTATCACCTTTTTCAGAAAGCGCACTTATTTCAGAAATACCCTGTATAAATGCTTGTTGAAAAAGTTTAATTCAGAAATAATAATACTAATTGAAGTAACTTTCGTACTAAAAACGAATTTTATCGTTATATGACCGTTTTTTTTTTGTTAATTTGTGATGTAGAACCTGCCATAAAGTTTAACCAAATTTTAGACCCACTCTGTATAGAATTAAACATATTAACTAAACTTTTTTTTTTCAGCGATAAGTGACTTCCACTAGAAAAACTGAGTTTGTGGAATCCACGATTATCCATGAGAAATAAAACCTTAAATATTTACTAAAGCTATTTTCTTCCTTTTAATGCAAGTACCTATACCGATTCCAAAAGTGTTAATATAAACTCTATAATACATCAAAGTAAAAACTGAAATATTATATATATTGGGTGTCGTCCCACAAATAAGTACCAAACTCATCAGAATCAACAACTTCGTCTTATAATTTTTTCGAAAAGCTCGTAGATAAATTTAAAATTTTTCTTACCCATCACTGAAGCATAAATTGAAACAATTAAGTCGACTGAATAATAAACATAATATATGGAATTAATTCGGTTGCTACTTACATTCATCAATTCTATTACTAAGTCTATAAGGTGTTCTGCTTAATAAGGACCAGTCAGTAGTCACTTATAACTTTTTTTAGGTTATTGACTTCAAAAGATAAAGATACCTTTCTTGTGGTCACTTCAAAATTTTTACTGTAAACAATACTCTCCGCGCATAAATCAACAAACGCACAATTACCGATCTGAAATTACTTTCCTAGTTTGTTATTTTTATGTCTTCTCGAATAACGCTCAAGTTTCGTTACGGGAGTTCCTTCATTGCATGAGATTAGTATTTGCAAGACTGATTATATATTCTATCCACTTTCTTAGAAAAGTTTGGTAGAGTCGTTTAGCCAGGGGGAGATTCTCTTGTATACATCGCCATCTTTCGAAACAATTAGATTACACAGCAAGATAAATTAATCGTTATTAAAGCACAGTGATAAAAACTCCCGGAGGCGACAATGCTTGAACAAAATTTTTAATTTCTCGTCGTTTGTTTCTGGAAACATTCGTAAAAAATATCTATATAAATATTTGTGAATTAAAATTTCTTTCTTTTGAGATAGGTATATTATTTATTTATGAAATTTATTAGATCAATAGGGAAATCATCAGAAAATAAAACAAAATAGCATCACTAAAACTATAAAAAATTTACTTAAACATATTGGGTGTATTTGTAACATTAATAATAAACGATTTCAAACCCGTAATAGTATATTAAGCATTAAGAACGGTAAGGGTAATTTACCGCTCGAAGACAATGTTTGGAGGCTGAGCGAAGCGAAGAATCCAATTTTGTCTGAGAACGGTATAACTCTTAACGTTCGTGATGCTTATACTATTTTTTGCGCGAACGCAATAAATGAAAACGAAATTATATATACGTATTTAATTTTTTATGTAACGTCAAAAATGACGTTTCTGAATAAATTTGCGAAGCAGGTTTTTTGAAATCTACTGATGTTTATTGTTGTCACGGCTTTCTTAATTGACGAAATTGACAGTTCTAGAATAGAATAGAAATTGAAAAAACATGTACTGCTCCAATTTCTGTAAGCAATTGTACAAACTGTACATTTATTTCAACATTAATAAATATGTTTAAAATACATCTTTTTTTTATATCAATTACCCACATTTAAAACTGAATTCTAGAAAACTCATTCCAAATCAATGCGATGTTGAAAATGTCTATTTTGACAGTTATTCACTTACCGTTCTAGAACGGTAAGTGAATTACTTACCATTTTGTTAGCCTTAGCAACCAGTAAGCGCATCCTACTGTCGTAGAAACAAACATGGTAAGTGAACTAAAAAAGCTTGATCGTGCAAAAATAATATTTAAGGACATTGAAGGGAGGGACATCTATAGGAAAATTGAAAAATATTTGTATTTAAATTCTATAAAAAAAAAGATAACATATCGGTTGCAGAAAAACACAACCTCCCAAGGAATGAAGAACAGTTATATTAAAGTTTTTCGAGGTTTGTAAAATGACCAGTTGTCGTGGGTGTTTGTGAAATAATTATAATTTATAATTATTATACGTAATAACGTATCCTTGTAAATAACAAGGATTTAAATTATGTTTAGCGATAAAAGACGTGGCTTTTGGGTATAGATGGTTAGTTGAAGAACATCTCCTACCTATTCATTTGAGCTATATTTTTTCTGATAGAGAATTCAGCATTTTTTGTAAAAACTCCTTTAAAAGTCCCAACTTATGACTGGACGATATTCCATTATTTGGCAGTAATTAATGTGCCACCATCATGGACCAGTTGCCGAAGAAGAATTCGGATGTAGATGTCAGAGAACTCAAAACTCAAACTGTTTTCTCCGTTACCCTACCGCTGTCTGCCGCTATAGATTCTTTAAATGCCTGTCAAAAGATATGAAAATACGACGCAATTGACTATTGGCTGATATAAATTTAAAAAAACTATCACGGACTAATTTCGCTTTTTTGAGATTGACTCGAATGGAACATGGCTTTTCATTTAATAATAATAATAAACTTCCCGCAGAATATCTATAGAAGCTTCTGTTTAAGAAACAATACAAAAAATTAAATAAAATATTTGATAGACTGTTTCGGCGAAAAAAAAATTAAAAGATATGTATCATCAAGTAATTCAAAAGGTTTCAATTTAATGATATTGTGGGAAACAATTACTTTGCGCAATAATGCCCCGACAACAAAGAATTACACTCGCAGGATCTAGTAATGGGTTGAGATAATTTAACATTAGAACCACTAGATATAGATAAATATAAATTAAATTAAATAACTAACAAAAGGAGAGAAAAATTGTAATCGATACATGAACATTCAATTTGACCTCTATATAGTCACACGAAACAATATAATAACACATGATGAAAAAAGATTAGACACCACCATTTAATAGGAAAAAATAATATGAACCAGACGGGCTAACTAGTTGTTACCATGCAGTGCCAGAACATAATAATATGTACAATACATATAAGTTGTATATAATTGAGTAATATATATACAGGGTGTCCGTTAAAGAATGGACGAAACTTTACCACTAGATACTTCGACGAAAATTAATGGGGAAAAGTCATATACAATGTTGCTTATAAACACTTAGTTTTCAAGATTCAGGGTGTTGAAGTTGAAAAAATAAATAACATTTTCTTTAATATCTTTCGATTACTTTCAGCTAATTTGATGAAGTTTCGTATTCGGGGTTTATTCGTATTCGGGGATGAGAAATTCGAATTTATAGACGATTTCATTGTATCTTCTAGAGGGCGCCACACGCGATCATTAAGTCATTTGAATTGCCCAAAGTTTTTTGTGCAACGGTGTATTTCGTTTTGGGCTGGAAAAATCTTTTCCTCCTACTTTTCTACTTGAAAAAGGTATACCTCTAAAGCCCACCGTTTTCAAAAAAACAAGAATGCATTTAAATTTGTAAATGCATAAAAAAATTGTTTAAAAGTTATTATATACAAAGGATTTGAAAAAGATAACGCTATTTCATTTTTGACACTTTGTAGTTTGGCTCCCTATATAAATTAACTTTTTCCCTAATTTTCCAAAAATCCAGAAACGCAGCAAGATCTAAATAATTATGAGGCCACAAACACATTTTTGCACGAAAAATGTATGATTTTAAAAACAACATTTTCAACTTGTTGTCATGCGTCATTTGGGCATCTTTGAAACACGGATTCTGCCTGATC